TCCAAGGTATACTAATGAGTAGAATCTTAGTTATGAAATTTTTTATCCCTAGATAAGTCAGGTTAGAATAAAATTGCTAATTGGTTTTAATGATCAAATTGTAATAAAAAAATGTGGTAATTTTGTTACGGTTTCAAAATGTGAACCGTCTATTACTCTTCGAAAAAGTGAAAAATATTCACCTCTTATGCAAATAAAACGTTTAATATGAATATTATTTAAAATCTATATAAAATATCATGTGAAGTGAATAAATCTAAAGCTTGATGATATTTAGTAGCCTCTCGTCCAGCTGATTCTTGTTACCCAAAATTTGAAATGAAACATACGTTTAGTATTTGAAAAACCAAAATCTAAGTCCTGAAGTTACTGACCTTCTTCAATCGGATTTTCCTCCTAAATATCCTGTTTATGGTAACTTCCTGTTCCTTTTTTCTCAAGTCGTTGAGATTTTCCATTTTATAATAAGTTTAAATATTTATAGTTATTTATTTTAATAATAGATAGGGTTTGTTTATTTTTATTGTGTCACTTGTCCTTGTGTCATTGTCATTCAATCCACCAGATTAACAAAATTTGGTTCTGGGGGAACAAAAGTGCAATTACAAGTTACTAAACAAGGTTAGACAATGGGTCTATACTAGTAATTGTTTATAAGTAGGAAGAGATATATACTTTTGTTCAACATTTTTAAAGAGATAAACTTTGACTTTCAACCTTTTTTTGGGGTTGATTTAGTCACTTTTCTAACGTGACTTGCTAGGCTGCAGAAAGTTCTGTACCTCCATTTTTAGAAAAGGACTCTGCAAGTCAATTTAGAACCCAAAAATATTATTTGGAGATTATTTACTCTTATCTAATTTATAAGATAGGGAATAAACCTAATAATTAGGGATTCATATTACTCAAATAATAATAGATTTCACTAGATTAGATTAGGAGTTGGACGTTATTATTTGTCGTTGTCCACCGCGACCTTTTCAGATCTATTGTGGGGCCATGTTTGTTTTAGAGTATGTCGTCTAGCCTGGTCTTTTTATTAGACTTAGTAGCTTTGACAGAGGCTCTCGCATGTGATTGCATGCATTTG